TGGGGGCGTTATAAGTGACGGTCAATCCCACTATTCATTGGTAAAAGAGTAGCCCAAGAGTTTGCGGTAGGTGGTGCTGACTTGCTACCTTTCCTCTAGTCTTACACTGCTAAATTATGGGCGGCTAGCGCAGATAGCCCTCGTGTAGCTTTGCGCGAAATTCATAACAAACAAACAAACATTCTATTAAATGTATGTTTCTAAGTTCCTAAACATTTTGCACTATTTGTGTATACGAAAAACTATAGATGAATATGTAATAAAATATCAGAACATATTTTTTTGTATTCGTTTTTGATATGACCATTCACCATCATTCCTCACCTTGATTACAGCGTTTAATACACATTAAAACTTATAATTTACTTTTTTGTTGTTTCCAGTTTGTACTTTTTTCCTAATGTTATTCGTATGACAACTATGTGTTTACTCCCCTTGGTATCTGATTATGCACGAATTATTGTTCATTTATGCGAAAGTTTAGTTATAGAGGTTTAAAACTTAGATGAAATTAAGTTTGAACCACATGGAACTAGAATACGGCGTTTCTTTCTATACAATGTTTAACATTATTATTGAACTTTTGGTACAGAAGTACAGTGTCTAGACTTCACATATACACGCGACAGCTGTTTCGGCTTGGATACTTAGGAAGCAAAAACTATATAGGAATTGTGGTTTATAACATAATATTACTTGAAAACAAAGGAATTGCTTCATCCTATAAATTACAAGTTTTTGACAACGTACTTTATTTTTCAAATGGAGAACTTAAATGTATACCAAGTTGATTTACAAACGGTAAAGTCCAATACAATATACCAAATCTATTTATTACATTGAACTTATTAGCATATAGATATGTTATAAAAATTACTTATAATCATTAAACTTTTAGGAATTAAACTTGACGAGTGAAACATGGCTGTTAGCGAATTTTGACCGGAACAGGCTTTGTCCGCGAGGTCGCTGTTGGTGGGATTATAGTCCAGAGTTTGTTTGTTATTAAGCAAAAAGCTGCAAAGTGAGCAGCTGCCTGTGTTGTACCCACCACGGGTACTGAAACCCGATTCTTAGCGTTGTAACCTGGGAGACTTACCGCTGAGCAACTTGAAGGCGTAGCCCAGAATACAACTAAAATGCTTCATTTCGACATAGTTAGCGAATTGCCACCTCACAATTCATGATTGTTTGTTTGTAATTAAGCACAAAGCTACACAATGGACTATCTGTGCTCTGCCCACCACGGGTATCGAAACCCGGATTCTAGCGTTGTAAGTCCGCAGACATATCGCTGTGCCACTGGGGGGGGGGCACAATTCATGAATGTTGATTAATGTAAAATTAAACAGTCGTAAAGTGTGTATGGAACAAACAATTAATATTCCATCGTGTAATCACATCCATGAAATCCTGTATGATGCTATGAAGAATATCATCTTTGTGTACTATATTTCCAATCATTCTATTCATAGAGGAATTACTTGAACATTTTCGTGACTGCGCATATAGACAATAACTAGTGTGATTATCTGATATCTGGATGTAAATAATAATAAAGCAAGTCACGGATGTTTACACGTGGCAGTCATCAGTTTACTTTATCGGTGGTGATTTATATTACTAAATCTATTTCATGGAGGTAACAAAACTTGCATTGTTATCTGTATTCTCAGTATGTATCATTGGACTAAAAATGTCGGAGACGAGAGTTGTGTGTTAATGTGTTAGCGAAAATTATTATGTCTTAAAATCTACTTGTCTCAAGAGAATGCAATTTCATCAGAGGTACATGGAGAATCGCGGGTTTTATTCAGGAAAGCTTTGACGTGATACACTATGTTTCAAAACCTAATTATGCTGTGTACCTAAATCGCTTTTCTCCCAAATTAGTACTGGTTTTATTTTTCTCTCTTTTAAAAATACGAAAGTGGTGACTTGAATGAAATGCGAGTCAATGTGCGGGATATTGCGAGGATCAATGAATAATGTCCAGAACAGATAATGCTTGCAGTTGTTTCATTGAGGATAAGCTGATGCGCTGATTGAAACTCTAGGAAATCATGTTGAACATCTGCTTTAGTCTTTGCTGCTTAGTCATAAAACTTGTCTGTACGATACAAGTGTTCCTGAAACAGAGGGACTGTAGTAGTATTAGATGAATAAATGTAAGTTGACCCGATACAAGTGTTCCTGAAACAAAGTGACTGTAGTAGTATTAGATGAATAAATGTAAGTTGACCCGATGAATGTGTCAAGTCAAAGCATATAAAACTGGTATTGTGAAATGAGTCGTTGTATGTATTGATTGCCTAAATTACTTCACCTAAAGATAAAAAGATGTGAGTCCTGCTTTTATGAGTTTTCCAAAGAAGGTCGACAGACTTGTAAATTCTGACTGGTACAGAAATAGAGTTTACCAACTAAAAGTTTCGACACTTCTAAAGGAATGTTACTTTTACTTATTCATTATGTATAATGAACTCTCTGATACGCCACATAACACTTTTCCTATCGCCACTTTAGATTTCACGATTTGATAATCATACCTTAAATACAGAACCCACCAGGGTAAGGAACATGGTGATTTGAATACACTGTTTGTTTATAAGGATGGTGAGGAAGTTACTTCCGTCAGAGATTAAGTATCTTTAAGTACTTCTCATATTCAAGGCAAAAATAGTTACATGTTTACCAAGCCTCTTACAAAATCCCATGGCATCCTATATCTCTTCAGAATATCAAGCAATATAAATATCAGTACGAATAACATGATCTAACCTTTACTATTTAACTTAAGGCGTATGATAGTTTGTTTCACAACTTTGCATACATTTATACAAGAGCTCCCTGCACATAGCGGTCCCTACTTTTCAACTGATAGACTAGAGAGAAGGCAACTAGTCATCAGTACACACCGCTAACTCTTGGGCTCTTCTTTATGACCGAATATTGGGATTTAACCGTTACGACCTGTAATTGCGGAGCATGATTTGCAGCAAGGAGTCTCCAACCAGGAATTCCAAGATTCACAGTTCGAGCACTCTAACCAATATGCTTCTCTGCTCCTGGCGATTTTCAGATTAAAACATATAAATTTTGTGAGTAGAATGGTATCTCTTTTACTCTTTCAAATGAGTAACGTTTCTTGAACAGAAGAATTATTTTCACACTTTAAGGAAGATACGCTTCTAGAATATAATTGTTTTGCACAGTATAAACAATTGTTTTTCACACCTTAAGGAAGTCACGCTTTTTGAGTACAAGTATTTTGTACCGTATGAACTATCTTTCTCACACTTTAAAGAAGAACACGCTTCTTGCGTAGAATTGTTTTACACTGTATGTACAACTATTTTTCACTGTCGTAGAGAGGAAAGCTTCTTTAGCAGTGTAATTATTTCCCACCATTTAAATCGTTCAAACTTCTCAAGTAGATATATTATTTTTAATCGCTTAAAACAAAATATTTTGTAGTAGGAGAAATTATTTTTTACCGTTTAAAGCAGTAAAACTTATTGGGTAATCTTTTTTTAAACATAAAACTCTCTTGAGTTAAATCGGTAATTCTTACTTCTTTAGAACAAAATTAGCAATGATGAGAAGAATCACCACCCGTACTGAATAAACCACTTAAAATACTTTTATCGGGTACGAAAATTTATTCCCACACACCAAGCCTACAAAGAAATTGCTTTAAATCATACAAGTATTAAGCTACCGCACTAGTTTCCCAGGAGAACTGCAGTGATTGTAATACACAATTTTATTTCTATACATAAAAATGTGTTTGTTTTAAGTTTAAAACACAAACGAATCTGAATAGCAGTATATATTTTTCTCGGTTATATTAATTTCTAAATGGTTCAGTATCAAAGTAGTTAGTGTAACGTTTTGTCGGATGTTTATAAGAACAATTTTTTCCTTTGATCTTTTATAAACATTTTGACTGGGATAATCTTTAAATATACATGCTTATTTACCATCATATTACGATCGACATGCTAGCGACTGCTGGAGATAGTGGAAAGAAGCCGACGCAGCCTCAGAATAGCTGTTTCACTGCAGAATTTATTGATTGGTGACGTCACGGCTACAGAACATCGAGATCCCATAAAGGTTGCTATTGTCTGGTGTTAAGGTTAACCCCCAATGTTTCAGTAGTTTGATGCAGATGATGTAATTTCAGATTTCAATGACTGTGGTAAGTCATCTTTTGATATTATACAATTTTCATTGTAGTCATTCGTTCATGTACAATTAACACAGCAGCAATTTTTCGTGTTACTGCCACAGGATACAGTAATATATAGCTAAATACTAGGCTTCATAGTTGTGCTTGAAGAAGCGCTTAAAATATGATATTTCGGTTTGGTAATAATTTATTCCATTCGTGTTTTAATCGACAGCACTAATAAATTAGATTTTTAGAATAACACGCTTAGAATTTTCTCTACTTATTCATAGGATTTGTAAATAAGGGAAAGCATTTGATTCTCTGCACTTTTCATGAAACTTGTTCACAGAAATTACATTTAAAGTATACTTCAGTACAGCCCTATTTAGTTTTCTGATGGAAAGCTACAATGAAGGTACTCTCCTTAACAATACCAAGAAACAAACTGCAGCAGTCTGATGATGTTTACTAGCCTGATTCTCCCCACGGCGTGATATTCACCACATCAAGTGCGTGATGTATCCCTGATCAGCCAAAATATCTTCCGTGATAAGAAAAAGAAGAGTGTTGATCCATGAATCAACTAGAGCCTATTTGCATTATCCGCCTTAAGCAATGACACCATTGTCATGGCCTTCAGTTACTGAAGTAATGCAAGAGGGAATTTAACATTAGGAACAATGCCTGAAATATAGCTACTAGAGAAAATAAGTCGATTCCTTTGTTTGCACGGACTCCTGAGCCAATAAAGAAGTAATGAAATTAAATAAATTATATTTCCATTGTTTAAATGTTCAGTGAAATAAGACCCAGATCACTTCCGTAAGGAGTTGTATTAGGTTTCCAGTGCTATAAATTGCACAATTTGCTTCTTATTTTGGATGGCACCGCATTGGAAACCAACAGGTGACTATAACTTGACGAACCCTGCAGCTGGGAATCCACTGTAGTAGAGTTGCATTACTGCTTACATTAGGTATTTAATAGAGCCATCTACTGGGTGTAATTTAAGGCTCATAAATACTGCAAAGTGTATCTCCACATGGAAGCAACTGATCTAGAAGATATTCTAGTCAATAAGTTTATGGAGGGACTTCCTAGTGTCCTACCATTTAAGCATTATAGACGTCATATTTTTAAATGAAGCTAGACAGCAATGGAAAGTTATGAGTTGGTAATCTTAAACTTTTTCCAGAGCATAAAAAAGAACTGCAGTGGGTCTGACAGGGACAGAGCGACAAGTAGGTTAGCTCTATAGACACTATACAATTATTAAGTTCAGAATAAATGGCTGCTAGTGGAGTAGCTGTGCCAATGATTTGGACGGGGACATAACTAACTCTTTCAGAAGAATAAGTGAGAAGAGAGCCTTGCTATAGCTTTGGACAGTTTTGTCAATGATGGTGAAGATGTCTTTTCCGTGTGTCTGTGCAGGAGCCCATATGTACAGGTGAGCTACAGCTCTGTAGTGAAACTATAAAATGTTGACCAAAGTATGCTCATGAACAATGGACTACCTCAGTGCATATATAGACGATGATGATACAATTTTGTTTGATCCATAAGTGATGTCTCTTGGTATATGATTTAATGATGTGGTAGTGGCAACACTTGAGACACAGTGTTTTCTTTTGAAAAATCAAACCATTCTTGCTTGAATTGTTAATTCTCTAAGAACAAGATATATATACAAGTGGAAAAAATATTTAAAAAAAATTGAAAGTGTGAAAATAGTTGCATCAAAAAGTGAGAAAACAAGGTAGGAATGGGCATGGTGTAAAAAAATTTCTTCTTTACAACATCACAAAGAGGCGTGTCAAACATCCTGTCCATGCCTACTTCGTTTAATTTTTCTTTCCTGTATACAGTAAGCCAGGTGGACTAAACTTATCAAACTTAGTAATGATTATCATACAATGACTGGAGGTTTCTGTTAATCGAATTATTGGAGGTAATACATGTATTGTAAACTCTGTTTATAAGACACCAGAAGAATCAGATATTCATGTAGATCCATAACCTGTATGTTATTTTTCATTATAATTTGTCCGTCCTTTTGCAATTGTATGATAAGGCAGTAGGATTTCGTACAGTACTTAGTAATTACTAATCGTGGTATTAAACTGTAATGTTTTTATATATTAAAAGTGGTACCGTTTATTGAAAAAATATTTTTTTAAGAACTCCAACTCAGTACCACATTTAAAAATTACACCAATAAAGATATATTCAAACCCTCAAGTACAGTCCTAGTGAAAGTCGTTTTTTGTTGTTGTAAAGAGAGTACTTTTATTTAAAACTGTGTTCTACTATATAGAAATGGTTGTTGCAGATACCACAGTTATTGTAATTGTCTGAATCTTGAATAGTCAAAGTGTGAAATGTTTTGTGGATTTTTGTTTGTGGTGCCATTCAGTAGATGGCACAGGAGTTTTGGTTACATGCATAAATACTGACATACAGGTTACGTCCATTATAGTAAGATAGGTGGATTAAAATACAAAGATAAAAATCCTAAGAGGTTTCTGTGTATCGATTTCATGGATTCAGTTGATGGTGCAGGAGTTTTGGATACATGCATAGATACTGACATACACGCTACGTCCATTATAGTAAAATACAATGAGATAAATCCTGAGAGGTTTCTTTGTATCAACTTTATGGATTCGTTTCTGTCTAAACAAAAGTAGAAGAATTGTAGTCACACTTTTGTATGTACACATAAGTTGTATAATATCATGAACTCAGAAAAACGAAGTAGGCATGGAGTGGATGTTAGACACGCCCCCCCCCCCCCTGTGCGGTCGTACAGAGGAAGTTTTATTACACTGTATCTATTCCAGCCTTGTTTTCTCACTTTTTGGTGCACCCACTCCCACACTTTCAATTAAAAAAAATACATTTCCACTTGTTCATGCACATTTTTCATTCAAGGTGACATGATATTGTGCATCATTCATACATTTGTGTTGATATCCTGTATGTATATCATCAGTTGGGGTTTGCCCCATAATGTTATGATATCTACAAATAATGGTGGGCCCGGCATGGCCTGGTGGATAAGGCGCTCGACTCGCAATCTGAGGGTCGCGGGTTCGAATCCCAGTCCCACCAAACATGCTCGTCCTTTCCAAGAGGGAAGGCTGTCAAGTGGGTTGCATCCTTGACGTAAGAAACAGCTTTAGAAACGATGGCAGAGCAAGATCTGCCATCGGCTCGACGGTCTGCAAGGACTATGGGAAAAAATAAAAAAAATAATGGTGTATATATCTGTGTGTGTGGTGTGTATTCTCTTCACTTATGGTGTGTGTACACATTGTGAATGTGCATGTGTGCTGTACATGTGATGACACACAATCTATAATGTGGATTGCCATTTGGATGATGTAGTGTGAGTTGTGGTTGTGTGTATATACTGAGGATTGAAAAATTAGTTATTTAATTTAGTTCACGCTAGCCCTAGTACGTGGTCCCTGTGCTATTGTTTTATTTGGTGTACTTATAACTAGGGTAAGTCTGTTTGTTACACAGCTAGAAGCGTTCAACAATGTCAGTCAGTGAGATAGAGAAATTCGTGGTTTTGTTAATTTTTTGTTTCTGCTCTGCTGACTTTCTCAAATAGTTCTATGACTTGTAACTTTGTATGTGGTTTGTACATCACCTAAGAGTGTCTCTCAAATACTTTTGATGATTTATTGTTTGGATCTTAAAGGTGTATATGAGTAAATAGTTTGTATTGCATGTATTGTGTGTTCCCCATTCCTACTATAAGTACTATGGAACTTATGATATATAAATATGCATTTATTCTGATTATAGTTTGTAATTATGGTAACCACATATTAAAGTTACTGATCAACATAATTGTTTATATGGTGTAAGAAAGAGAAATAAATGAAACTAATAGTATAGCTAGCAGTATTTGATCAGTGCCACATCAACATGCAAATACACGATTGCCAGTACATCTAAGGTCACTTGTTGACTGTGGATTGTTGCTAAAATAGTTTGACAATGTGTTTATTGGATCAAATAGCTAGCTGGGAAAACAAACATCAAACATGGAGATAAATTATATGCTGAAAGACAGATTCATTCAACTTCCGAGAATATCTAGTCATCACCAATAGTAATCATAAGAAAAAAGGAGGTAATTCAAAGATTCTCTGTGGACTTCAGGTTGAAGAATGTGGTAATGTGTGTTGATGCAATGCTCTGATTGTTTATACCATTAGATTTTGCTCCTAGATATTTGTATGTCGAGTTAGATGACACATGCAAGGATATTTGTATGAGTTTTGCAGGCTGTGTGATGTTCCAGCTATTTTCTAGCAGCTGTTGGAAGCCATAGTACGTAATTTACTATGGGAATAGTATTCCTAGCAACCAGTGAGTAAAAGCTAATGTGAGTATGTAATAAGTTGTCAACATATTATATATGTAAATGATAAATGGTAATATGGCTACACATTTCAAGGTGCAGTTAAAAACCTGATCATGATACTTCGATAGTTTAGACAAGTAAGTCTGAAACAAAACTTTTTTCTCGTACACAATAATTTATTGGACATAGAGTGAGCAGGAATTGAGTACCTACAGATTCTGTTAAAAAGCAGTGCTAAACTGATTTGAACCTATGAACAAGAAAGATGTCTGAAACTTTCTTGCCGTCACATCACATTATAGGTGACAATGACATTTAAAAGTAGCGAGAATTCCATCTTTGACTGGATATCTAATACAACAGAGATGCTATGATAGGATCAGTTAAAAACTCAGATCTAGCCTGAGCACTACTTAGCGTGCATCAAGGTAAAGCATGACTATTACAAATCGTTGAATGAAACATAGGAGCACATGTCCTCTGTCAGTTGTTTGAACTATTGGAGGCACAAGATGGAGTACTACATTATCACTACAAATGCAGTACCCATCCTTTGAGGAAGCTAGTAGTTTTGAAACTATGAGGTCTGAGATTCTCTGAAGATTATATGATTCATGGATTAGAGAATATCAGAGAGTATCTT